CCCCTTTCAGCTGACATGTCAATTCAGGCAATCCTCGGTTAATGACAGTAACTGGGACCATATATTCCATTACTAAGCAATGCAGTCATAAAATGCAATATCACATGACCATACCACTCAATGGTGACAAGCCCAGACTCCTTGTTGCTGGTGTTAAGCAAGGACCGTGAGTTGTTAAGTAGCTAATACCGTCGGAGGAGGGGGGTAATGCAAGGGTGACTGCTGTGGTGTAGCACAGCCAAACTTTGCTTGTCGGAAGCTGGCAGAGATTACATGACTGTGTAATGCTGCAACCACTGTAGGCATGAGACAGTTGTCAGGTTCCCAGATCACAATCGTGTGACTTCGGGATGCTGGATGGAACTTGGAGGACCAGTCTTACAGTAAGTGCCACTCATTAATCACCACTGTAACTTTGAAAGGTCGCTGAATAAATTATCATCAAAAGGGCTACCTGTAACAATGTCTAGGCTCATTGCGTAATTTTGCATTGTGTTGCAATTTGATGGGAGGCTGTGCAATTTTTGCATTACGCATGATTACCTGCGAAGAAGGTTTGGAACTCAATCTTAACTTTATCTTTTATAACAGGGTTTTTCAGGACAACATATCTCATGTAATCATTGTCCACAAAATTTTGATTTCCTCAGTGTGGCTCTCCAAATATTGGGAGGCTACAATATCTAGTAGCTACAGCCAGCATGACCCATGGTGAAGGATATTGAGAGATGCAATTTCACAGAATCCATAGATGTACCATGTACCCTATGGCACAGATTTAATTGTCAGCCATCACACTGACAAACCTCCTGCTTACATAGTCCCAGGTTTTTATAGAGCCATCCATTCTATTTCACCACTGGCATATTTCTGCAATTTTTAATCATAAAACCCTCAAGGTGATCAAACATTCCCCCCCCCCAAAAAAAAATCACCAAAGCAAAATATTTTGTTTCTTGCTCACATTAGAAAGCGACGGGATACCGGAAGCTGGCTTACCTCTATAATTTCCAGCATCTCCACCCTGGTGATTTTCCCATCTCCATCTAAGTCGTACATATTGAAGGCCCAGTTTAATTTCTGTTCAAAGCTACCCCTCGAAGTGATGGAGAGGGCGCAGATGAACTCTCTGAAGTCAATGGTGCCATCGCCATTCTTATCAAAGGTTCTGAAAGCATGTTGGGCAAACTTGGAAGCATCTCCATAGGGGAAAAA